GGATGAGTGATTGGGAATATCGTTGTGCCGTTGACTGAAACAGAGAGCCCAGGAGGGGAAAAAGTTACGGCCAAACAATATAGCGATGGGTATTTTGTTACTTGCAGTCTATACCAACTAAAAGCAAACTTAAAACCCTCATTTTTCTCTCTGAACAAGTCTGGGACAGGTAGTCCCATGTGTGGTTCAGCTCAAAGGTGCCAGGGCTCTGTCCACTTTCCTGAGAGTCTTCTAACCTTCCTTCCCCACTGCTAGATGGCCACCTCCACTCCACACCTCACAGTGACATTTTAGTAATGGAGAAAGGAAGAACTCTCTACTGATGGCTCCCATCCCCAGGAGGCCCCCACCAGATTTCTCCTAAGTCCCACTGGTTAGGATTGGGACTAACCACTGCTAGCTTCCGGGCCTAGGAGATTGGCGTTTTCAGGCTTTTTCTTGGAAAACCAGCTCAGCAGGGAGAAAGGCATTAAGTAGGTAACCAGCAATGTCTGTCACAGTGATGAATTCCATTTTCTCTCCCTACACAGTTGATAAAAACTCGCTTAGCCTTATAGAGCTTGAATTAGATAGGCTAAATCATAACTATAATAAATTAGTATTTTCGAGAAGCCTGTTAGTTTCTCAGTGGGCCTTTCCCTTTGACTCTGTGATTGAGAACTGATCCCACTGCTTCATAACAAGCAAAAGATCCGATCTTTTCCCTCTTAGAATTTGAATGAAAACTCTGTGACTGCTGTGAAAACATGTATCCATCCCATTTTGCAGGATTGCCCTTCTGGTATCGTTCCATTTTCTATGTCTCCATATGTGCTTTTATATATGTATCTTCTGTTTTATATGTGCAAGAAAATCCTGTAGACATTATGAGCCATGTTTTAGAGTCTGGAAGCCCAGAAAACTCCCTGACGTTCAGTCTGAGTGGAACCAGGACAACCATTGTAGCCCCTCTGAGTGGCAGAGGCTGGCTGAGCTGAGCAGAGCCTATGACACAAGTAAAGCTAAGAAAATGTAGACCCGTGGCTGGGAAGAAACTGTCCTGGCCCTGAAGGGTCCTAGCGTGGGCACCTGGGATTGCAGGTTAGTGATGACATAATATCCATATGCTTCTACATTATATCCAAAGTACCCACCATCGTTGACTGTCCTGAGCGGATAAAGTTGGAATCCTTTATTCTGTGGCTCTGTAACTATAATTGTCTCATCCATAATTGTCCAGCTGAGATATTTTTAACCCAGTAAAAGTCACATGCAGTAAATTGAAGCTGAGGTGTCCCTGTGGGTACCTTTGCAGATGAAAAGGAGGGGAGGGGAGAGGAGGAAAGACCTGAGGAAGGAAGCACTACATCTCATCTTGTATCTGTAGCAGCTCATTGAATTGTCTGACATTGGTTGAATGCCTGCCGTGCCCTCAGTGCTGGGGACAGAAGAATAGATAAAGGTACTCGCAGTGCTGGGACAGAGTCGGCATCTCTGCCCCGTCGTCACAGCAGTAAAGCGAACACGGGAAATCAGCGCTGTCCACCGGGGAGGTTGGGCTGGTTTTCCTTACCGTTTTATAGCGCCTGGTTTCCAAGTTTGAGTTCATGCAATAAAAATTACATTATGTCACAGTAATTGTGTTTGAACTACATTCTAGTGAGTGCCCAGAGAAGGCCTCACTACTCCCCTGTATGATATTTCAGTAGATTTCAAAGCCACTTGTTACCTTGGGGAAATGCTTATTTCCAAGATACCTGCGATGATGGACTCACGTCCATGAATCTGTAATTGACTAGAAGCTGAATTTCTGAAAGTTGTATTTTAAATGTTAAACGTCTTGTTGAAAAATGGGTACTTCTAACAAGAAAAGAGTGTAATGCCTTAGGTACTTGCCAGAAAGTAAACAAAACCAGATTTCAAGCTTGCACGGTCTCCTAACTCCCTCCCCCACACCCCCCACCACCTCAACCAACCAAATCTGGCCCCACTCCTGGCTTTAATATGCAGACAAGATGATGTGAGGCCAGCGTGTGTAATCCAGGGAAGACTGCATCTCTCCGTTTGTTTCTGAGGATGCCATCGATGGCCTCAGGTGGCCTGGTTTTGACTGCCACCTTTTGCTCCAGTGTTCTAAGGGCCAGCTCATCACCATGCTTCTCCCTGTGGGTGAAACCTGTCACAACGCCAGCACTGAGGACTCGGACAGGCAGTGCGCTCCTGGCTTGGCACTCACAGAGGGAAATCATGGCGAGAACTAGAAGCAGCTTGCAGGTGGATGTCACTCCAGTTATGAAGTTCCTCGGCCATCCCTGCCACAGGGGAGCACGTTACCTGCGGCTCAGAGCCATTCACAGCCGTCTGGGACTCGTTTCTCCCTGCACAACCACTTTTCCTAATTCTCCGCCTTCCCTTCATCAGCAGCTTCTGGAACACAGCCCGCCGCTGGTACTTTCTTAGTCAGAAAGTCTCAGGAAAAGCATTCCCCTAACCCAAAAACATTCACCTTTCCTAACTCCCCAGTTGTTTACGTTTAGCCACATAAAAAGAGGGCAGAAGCTTGAAACTAAATCTTCTCTATGTGGGCTCAACATAGAGGTGTCCTGGCTCAGGCATTCAAGGCTTCAGAGTCTGTGCTTTCTTCCGTTTGGGGGTGGCCAGCCAGGGGTCAGCCTAGGTTGTGTGCTTCCCTGTACCAGGAGCAGTTCTGGGTGTGGCTTCTCTATCCGCAGCCTTTTCCATGTATTGTGCAGGCTTATAATGACTTCAGTGGTTATTATAATAGTTTGAGTGAACAAGGTAGAGCAGTTGTGTCCACTAACAACTTAGGGCCTGTGAAATGGCTGCTTGCGGGTGTTCCCCAGAGCGGCATGCAAGTGTCGGTCCCGTGCCCAGGGCGGTGCCAGGTTATGGGGTGAGCACAGCAAGTCATCCTGGGGCATTAGTTTCTCAGCCGATTTGGACATGTTTGAATGTCAAAAGTAGCCAGTATTTTATGGAGCAGAATGCGGAATTTATAATGATTTTAAGGTAAAATGTTTTAATATGAGAACCTTGACTGCAGGCTACTTTCCCAGCTGTCTCCAAGGTTCAGGCGACTCTCTTCCAGCTCAGGCAACTTTGATGGAAGTTTGAGAAACACCGTCTATACTCAAGAAGGTACAATCATACAAAAATGGGTCACTTCGTAAAGGGAGTTCCCTTATGGCATTGGTTAGCTTCTCATTTTGCAGATAATTGGCAAAGTGCAGATATTCCCTGTTTTATGTCTGTATGTGTCACGAAAGCTGTGTTTTGGGTTGAGATATTTGTAAATTGAATACTTCTAAATGAAATAGACACTTCTTCAGGAAACCTAAAATTCACTTATAAGTAATCACCCCCTGATTGCTAGTTTTAATAAGTTTGAGTTGAATAAAATTATTTTTCTTAAAGTGGGTGTTTTCACATAACTATAAACATCCATTATCTATTTATCTTGAAAATAGCGCTTTATTAGCTTGGCTTTCAAAAAATGTCACTTCTGTCAATACCACTGAATTTACCTGACTCTGACCAATGAAAATTTAAGCCTGTTTTTGTTAGTGGACTTGAGTAGTGTAAGGAAGATTTTTTAGATTTCTGGCCGTATTAAATATTTAAATTATCTCTAATACTTGTATTGTGTTAATGAAGCCTATAGAACAAAACAGTTCAGTCACGAAGTTCCTCGGGGCAGATGATTAAATAAGCATAAGATTGACCAGGCTAACTTCAAAGTTGATTTGGAATGTTGTACTATTTCTGGCTCTAAGCAATTATATTAGTCAAATATACATGTTCAGAGTACATTTTCATTAACATGCTTTCTATGTCCAGCTACTTCCAAATGCTTTCTTGGTCTTCATACGGTGTCATTATTCAATAAATGTTTAATAGAAAGGCTCATTAAAATTTTATTTATTATACTTAATGTAAAAGAGTAGAAATGAAGATAAATGAGGTTGAAGTGGGATGGATAAAATGGAATTGAAATAATTTGGAGTACAATTTAAATAAACTCCTTTGTTAATGTGGAAGTATTAGAAGTGTGTGAGTGACCACAACTTAAGATGTATCCAAATATATCACTGTGAAGACAGTAGAATATTGTATTACTGCTTTCTAGATTCTTTGAAGAAAACTGTCAGCTTTAGTCTAAAAATAGAAAAGATAAAATTAACTTAATTTACTTATGTATTAACTTAGTATATATCTGGGTTAAGCAACTCCTTATACTCTGTCCTATACCATATTTAAATCTTGTATGATTATCATTGGCTAGATGGATGTATAGAAATCCTTAAAGAATATTTACATTTTTTCTCAGTGATTTTTTTTTTTTTTACTATGATTATAATCTCTTTTACATGGGGAAGATAGAACAAAATGTCACTGGCCTACTGCTGGTAGTGTTGAAATCAATTTTTTATTTTTCATATTTTTTTATTTGACAGTACATGCATGCATGAACGGGGAAGGGCAGAGGGAATCTTAAGCAGGATCCACATTCATCGTGGAGCCCAAGCATAGCTTGATCTCACAACTGTGAGAGCATGACCTGAGCCCAAACCAAGAGTTGAGTGCTTAACTGACTGAGCCCCCCAGGCACCCCAAATTAAATTTTTGAATAAACCCTCTTACTCTAAAATTTCTATCATTTAGCTAAGGCAGTATAGAGAAAGTATATGTTTTCCTTGAAACATGATTAAATCAAGTCTTGCAAACTGGTAAGTTTGATTTAAGTATGGTTCATACGAAGATAGAATATTGGGTCAAACCAGAGTCATAGAGGTCAGTGTCTCTGTAATTCAGGGCACAGCACAGGGACAGGCTCCAATTTAAAAAAAAACAAAAAAACAAAAAAAAAAAACCAAAAACAAAACACATGTTGGCTTGTATTGGTTTGGCTGGTTGAGTGCTGTTTGTTAACTACAAACAGAATTGCAGTGAAGTTGTTGAAATGAGATTTTGTTGAATTGTCTGTGTTTATTTCATTATAGGCCATCAGCTGCAAAGGTCAACACAGTATATCCTACACCCTGTCAAGGAATCAGACTGTGGTGGTGGAGTACACACATGATAAAGATACGGATATGTTTCAGGTAACGTCTTTATTTTTCTTTTTTATTGTGGTGTCCTTAACATAATGTTCGTTTCAGGCATGCAGTATAACAGTTCCATATGTGTGGATATTACAAAATAATCACTACATCAAGTTCAGTTAACATTTGTCACCACACATAGTTACAGTTTTTTTTCTTGGGATGAGAACTTTTTAAGTTCTGGCTACTTTCAAATACACAACGCAGTACTATTTACCATAGGCTGTGCTGTCCATTACTTCCTCATGACACATCTTTTACTCCTTCATTGAAATGTTAGCATCCTTCATTTCGATATGTAGTCAGAACTTCTAGCGCGGTAGTGTTTGGTGATGTACAAGGAGAAAGAAGTAAAGATAATATAAAAATTAATTCCTCTTTGGTTTTTGAAAGACTAAGAAAAAACTTAGTTCTAAAATTGCAGACAAATTACAAATGCTATGTTCTTAGATCTCCATGCAATGAAAATACACATTATTTTTACTGTATAATAAAAATTTTTTAAACCAACCACTTTGAAAAGCAAACATGTTCAAAATACTTCCAAAATAACACTTGAATCAGAAAGGACATTGGTATTACAGTTATAGGCCTTTTTAAAAATAAGGCAGAGAAGGACAGATACCATAGGTTTTGCACGTTTAGGAAGATTAGGAGGAACTTAATGGAGGACCAAGGGGGAGGGGAGGGGGAAAAATAGTGTGGGAGAGGGAGGGAGGCAAACCATGAGAGACTCTTGAATGCTGAGAACAAACTGAGGGGTGTGGGGGAGAGGGGAAGGGGGAGATGGGCATGGGGGAGGGCATTTGTTGGGATGAGCACCGGGTGTTATATGGAAACCAATTTGACAATAAACTATTTAAGAAAAAATAATAAACATTTTAAAAATAAAATAAAAATAAATAAAAAGAACCATAGAACATTTTGTAGCAAAACTCAAAAGATGTGACCAACCTCATACTCAGTCGGAAATGTAAAAATTGAAGTGCTTTAATTATAGAGGAAGGAGGGAAGAAGGAAGGAAATCAAGGAACTAACCATTGGTCTCTAAGAGTTTTTTCTTTAAAAAAATGACAGTAAGAAAATATAGAACAGGGTCATGAATAGTGGTTCCTATTAGTGGTATGTAATAAGAAGTCGAGAAACACATCAAAAGAAAGCAGAAGGAAGGAAATAATAAAGGAAAAAAATCATCAATTTAAGAAGAGAATTTATATATCCAAGACTTGGTGCTTTAAAATAACAGAAAATTAAAATTAAGTTTAATGAAGGAAAAAAATCAAACAAATTGGGAGCCATGTGGTTTTGCATTTCTTTTTTTTTTTTTTTTATGTTTTTATTAGAGAGACAGAGAGAGGGAGACAGAGGATCCAAAGCAGGCTCCGCACTATCAGTGCAGAGCCCGACATAGGACTTAAACTCATGACCTGTGAGATTATGACCTGAGCCAAAATCGAACATTTAACCTACTGAGCCACACAGGTGTCCATAGGCTTTGCATTTTTGTATGGGGAGTTATATTATTAAATAAATGATATTGAAGCAAGTGTCAAAACTGTATAATAGATAACATCATAAAGGGAAATAAGTAGTTCTGAAAAATAAGAAAATATGCTCAACCTAGCTCGTAACAAATTCACATTGCACAGACACATTATGTTTGACTTATCAGATTGGCAAAAATCTGGAAGGTTTCATCAGAGGTGTGGGGAAACCCTCTCATACTGCTATAAACTGGTATGACCGGTGTGCAGCAGCAATTTAGAGATGCTGTTGGAAATGAAAAATGCTTGCACTCTTTGACTCCACTCCTCTGTTTCTAGAGATTTATTCCAGAGATACCCCTACATACATGCAGAATGACATTTTTACCAAGTTATTGCTCAAATCAAGGTTCAATAGCCAAAGATTGCAGACAACTTAAATGTCCTTCAGTAGGGGACCAGTTCAGTAAATTCAGGTACAGCCATACAGTGGAGGCCTCCAAGGCTGTAAAACAAGATAAAGCTCTATATGTGGACCTAGAAAGAGCTCCAAACATGGTTAATGAATTAAATATTAAATAGTATTAATTATATGGAGCCATTGATAATCTATTCAATTAAGATTATTTAATCTCAGGGGCACCTGGATGGCTCAGTTGATTGAGTGTCTGACTCTTGATTTCCAACTCTTGATTTTGGCTCAGGTCATGATCTTGCATTTTGTGGGATCAAGCCCCGCATCGTGCTCTGGGCTGACAGAGTGGGACCTGCTTGTCATTCTCTCTGTCTCCCTCTGCCTCTCCACAACTCATGCATTTGCACATGTGCTCGCTCTCTCTCTCAAAAATAAACATTTTTAAAAAGATTATTTAATCTTAAATGTTAATAAATCTGTTATTAAATATTAAATAGTATATTACTAAATATTAGCATAGATAAATGATTTAAATAATGCTTATATGCATTAAAAATCTCCAAGAGGACAAATAAGACATTATTATAAAGCAGTTGCCTTTGTGGGGAAGAGGTCTGGGCAGTGGGAGACACTGGGGGGGTGTGTTTCAACTATGATTTTTGAACCATGGTAATGTGTTAGCTGTTTTTTAAAAGCTAAACCACCCCAAATAGAATCATAGTCCTAGATATGGACCAGTTAATTAAGGGCCCCAAAAATAAGATTTCTCATAATTAGACCAAATATTAACAGTGGTTTTAGCCATGCCATTCCATTTTATAACATCCTAAATATTTTTCTTCTCCTTCAACCAGAGAAAATCTCTTCCTAAATAAGTATATGCCTGCATGTCCCTGTTGGTAATTTTAGTGGACTTGATAATAATTTTCTAATACTTTCCAAAATTATAAATCTTCTATTTACAAGTGTTTTCCATAGATTTTTTTTTCGCATGTTTTACCTAGAGAACAGATTCTCAATACCAAAAAAAATAAAGTGCATCAAGAAAATTTTACGGTTGTCAGCGGTACATTTTCCACCACTTTCAAATCAACACATCACTGCAATGGCACCTGTAATTTCAGCACTATTCTTTAGTGACATGTTGGGACAGAGATCACGTGTTCTCCACTATTGTACAGTCACAATCCACTCACATCTTTCACTTTCCGCCTCACCTCTGCAAATGCAGGATGAATGAAAGATTCGTGAGAATCTTAACAGGAGATCCATCGTCTTGACAAACTTAAGTGCACAGTACAGTACTTTTACCACAGGCACAGTGTTATCCAGCAGATCTCCGAATGTATTCATCTTGTGGGACTGGAACTTCATACTTGTTGAACAGTGATTCCCATTTCCCTCCATCCCGAGCCCCTGGCAGCCACCGTTCTGCTGCTTCTGTTGACTATTTTGGATATGGCACATAATCAGAATCGTGCAGTATTTGTAATGTCCTCCAGGTTTATGCACGTTGTTGCGCGTGGCAGGATTTCCTTCTTCGTAAGGCTGAATAATATCCCATTGGATATTTTTCTTTATCCATTCACCCTTGATGGACATTTAAGTTGTTTCTAGAGCTTGACTACTATAAGTAATGCTGCAGTGAACGTGGGGAGCAGATACCTCTTTGATATCCTGATTTCAGTTTTGTTTGTTTGTTTGTTTGTTTTATTTCTAGGAGAGAGAGAGAGAGAGAAAGACAGCGTGAGCAGGGGAGGGTCAGAGAGAGAGGGAGTCACAGACTGAAACAGGCTCCAGGCTCTGAGCTGGCAGTCAGCACAGAGCCCGAAGCGGGGCTCGAACCCACGAACCGCGAGATCATGACCTAAGCGAAAGTCGGACGCTTAACCGACTAAGCCACCCAGGCGCCCCGTGTTTGTTTGTTTTTTATAAGTACCCAGAAACAGGATTGCTGAATCACATGGTAGTTTTATTTTTAATTTTTCGAGGAAACTCCATATGGTTATAAACATCTAAGAGCTTTTTGCACGCTTCCCTTTTCATCACATGGAATCTTTGAAAGCCTCAATATTTAATGAAAGTAATTTATTACCACTTCATTAGAAGCACACTTAAGTGAAACTGACATTATTTTTAACTGCACATGCATGGCAATGAAGAATGCAATGGCCATTAGTACACTTCAGTGCCGCTGCTTTGATTCCTGCTAAAGCACATGATTGCCTGAGCACCATCAGAGTAAATGTCAGCACAGTGGAAAAGGCAAACGGCATGTTTATATTATTATGAAAGTAATTTTTGGCTTCATGGACCTGGTCCTTAGAAAAGGTCTCAGGGACCCTCAGAGGTTCGTAGGCTACACTGAGAAATACCAGATTATACTATACTAAACTCTTAATTGCATAGCTGAGAAATTTGGGTCTTTGAAAGGCAAGGTAACGAGGTCCTAAGGGTAGGAAAGGCATTTATGGCAGACGTAAGATTTACATCCCTGGAGTTCTGCATTCTCTACATAGTACCGGATCGACCTCTTTACATAAAGGATGGTAATTCACAAGAATTTATAGATTCACTAAGAAAACATAACAAGTTTGTCATTTTAACTAAAATAATCTGATTCTACTTGCAAAATAACTAGACATGTTGGAGGATTACTATCCAGTCACTCTGCAGAGTAGAATTAAGGCACTCTCAGAAGCCCCTGAAAAATCAAGCTTGTTTTAATTTGTCTTCCTTTTACAAGTTATTATGTCCCAAACCCACCGCTGACAAAGATTACTGAGCAAGAAGCACTGTCGCATTCCTATTTCTCAACCATGGACCTTGGTGTTGAGGGCTGTTCATTGTGGCCATTCTCTATAAAATGATTTCTAAGTTAATCGAGCATTTAAAAGCAAAAAATCAAAGAAGGGCCTGTGCTGCTTTTCCCATGGCAGAAACAGATAGTAATATCGCCTAAGGAAAAAAATATCAATTAGATCTGAATTTAAGAGATGGGTTAAGGGTGAGAATGTCTGAGTTAATACAGAAACAGTTTCTTAGTAATTTTCTAGAATAGGAGTAAATAAGGGAAACAGGAAATAGCATAGCTATTGAGA